TGCTCAATCAAAGTAGGGTTTGCCTCCTCTTTGCCTCCCTCGTGACTCCCGCAGGACTCTAATGTCTTTGTCAGTCTTAGAGACTCCCGCAGGACTCTATTGTCTTTGTCAGTCTTAGAGACTCCCGCAGGACTCTATTGTCTTTGTCAGTCTTCGTCTGTCTGACGCTAACGCTCCAGGAAAGTGCTGCCTAAAATGGAAACCAGTCCTGATTGCTGAGTTGTCACAGCTGTGGGGCCTCGCCCCTTTAACCTCTTCTAAACCGCACCCCCGATAACCCCCGAAAAAACGCGTCATCTGCAGGAAACAGCGTCTGAGGGCATCTTAATATTCAATAAACTATGAATGTTTTATATCCATGCAAGGGAAAGAAACTCAGCTAACTGATATTTTTTTTTTTTTTTAAAACCACAAAGCTAGCGCTGAGCCTATGAATTAGCCGAGAGCGAAAAATGCTAACGGAGTGTTGCACAGAAACTCACTCATAACACGCTTATTACTTATCGTAGCTGCACGTCCAACCCATCGATCTGATCGTGAGTTGACACAGAATCGATGGGTACATACATCATCGCTCCATGATAAGAACTTGCGGGGCTATTAACAAGAACAGACATCAAAACATGTGGCGCTAGGTAGCTAAAAACGGAAACATGGCACACCTTGGTCGTTGTCTGGTCAAAAGTGGTCTTCAATGGCATTAAAACGATAAAAACGGTGCTGGAGTTAATCCATAGGTTAATCCAATGTGTCTGTGTCCCTTTGAAATGATTTCTGATAATCCATAAGCAATAAACCTGCTTTTCCGTTTCCAGATGTCAGAACGAGAGATATGTTCACTCTGATGCAAACCTGTGTGCGCAAAGCCCCCTACCTTTCTTTTTACCATGTGTGTGTATGGGGAAATTCCCCTTCGACTCTATTGGCTCTAACGGTCAAAAAGAGATTTCTTTGGAGTTTTTTTTTGCTAAACCTCTCTAAAAAGGTCAAATGTCACTTGTTTTGCATCAATCTTGATACAGGGTACTTAGGCTATTATATGTTGTACTTTGGATTCCTAAAGCGTTTAGTCTACCTTACCATCATCCAAGGGTAGTTTTCACTATAAGTAAAAAAATTTTTTTGGACGGACACTATCATTTACAGTTTTTTACTCTGTTCAATCTGAATTTTCTTTAAAATAAAAAACATCTATATTGATTCTGACTTTTCTACATCCAACTCACAGGTTTAACATTACTTGATTATTAATTTAACCCTTTTAGAAGGGAAGATATGGTCATTTGTTCTGGGAATGTCCTTTTCGAGCCTGAGACCTAAAAAACAGGCTCAGGGGTTAACAGGTTAATTAGTTAACTCTCTGCATTCTGTGTAGAATGTGATTTCATCTGTTATATATTTGTGTCTTTGAGAGCTGGTTGAGTAGAATGTTGCACTGTAAAGCGCGTCCTTAATTGATGACTGTGATGTGGTGGATGAAGTCGAGGGGGCACGCTCGTGAACGGTCAACGCCCCTGCTGCACTGTACTTTTTTTTGTTTCACGTCGGACTCCTTAAACCCAAAGTATTTCCAAACAGTGGAATTCGTTTTACCATTCTTGTTCACGAGTTGCTCTTGTTCTGCCATCTTCGCTGGCGCTGAACTCACGCAACTAATGTCACTCACAACCTGGCCGAGAGGGCTTTAAGGGAGGGGCGAAAGCGCACGCAGCAAAATAATCTTTTTATTTCGATTACGTTGTTTTCGTAATCGCTGCAAGCCAAAATATTGATTAAAATATGATTAATTGCACAGCCCTAGGTTGTGTACATTAACAATGTATACAGAAGCTGTGTGGTCAGCAGAATTAGACTGGTTGCTTCAGCGGCCAACTGGTACATTTGTGTTGCTTTTTACGTTTAACTTTTAGAGCAAAGCACATCTTTCTTTTCTTTCTGAAAGTGAGTTGTTAGGAGGGCGTTACAGCTGGGGTTTGGCATAAACTGTTCAAGTGGCTCCTAGTATACTGAGTCACAACTGAAGTAACAATATTAAATACGCCTTTTGGATCTTGACATTATTTCATATAGCCATAATCTTGTAAAAAGAGTTTTAAAAGTCTTGCAGAAAGTTGTAGCGCTGTATGGTAACTATAGTCTGAGACTGATCAGTTTTGTTAATCCCAACACAGCTGAAGCTGCAGAGGCCGACATGGAGTCCAGGGTGAAGGAGAGAGAGAAGGGGTCGGAGGAGGAGGAGAAAGGAGAGGAGAAGAGAGAGGGCAGGAGGAGCCGCTCCTCCTCTACCTCCTCAGAGGACTACATCATCATCCTCCCTGACTGCTTTGACACCAGCCGGCCCCTGGGGGAGTCCATGTACAGGTACCGGTCCCTTTGCACTTCAGAAACAGGATGTGTAAATATTAGGGCCGTCAGCGTTAAGGCTCGCCATTCATCTGGAAACCTAGTTCAACCCAAATTTCCTACCATAATTATTGAGTGGGCCGCACGTTTAAGTAATTACTAGTTTCTTAAACTTGTTATAAATCATGCTTAATTACAGATTGTTATTGTGATTAACTTGATTAAAAAAGGTTTTAGCAATTGACAAAACTTGTTAATATAATTTGACCCTAAATGGGCAATCACATATTGATTGGTATTTTCTTCATTGCACCCATATTACGCATTAAAATAGTCCTAATACAGCCACCTGTATTACTTTAGTGATTCATTATTATACCGGAAGTACTACCTTATTACACCCATAGTACTCCCTGGGAGCTGTACAATAGCTGCCGACTGCTCCTAGAACTAGGATGGGTTAAATGCAGAGATCAAATTGCTGTGTGTGCTGTGTGCATGTATGTTTGACCATTAAAGAAGGTTTCATCTTCCGATTGTATCTATTGCACCAATATTACACATAATCAAACCCATATTACACTGGCATTACACCCATTTTACACATGTACACAGCCTGTCAAATGACTGTATCTCCCAGGATACAAAAAACATTTAAGGGTTCAAATGTTATTTTAGTAGACAAGGACTTCCAGTGGCAACCTCGGGCTGCATGTTGTCACATTCTGTTTAATTATTTGTTTCTGTTTCATTGCAGTTCAGCCTTGTCCCAGCCTGGTGACATCACAGCTAAGACCCCCACAGACCCAGAAACTCCATCGCCCGACCAACCGGGCCCCCCCGCCCCAGGGGGGCTAGGGGAGGCAGATGAGGATGCAGCGGCCTCAGTGTCGGGGAACAGCAGCGCCAACGACATGCTCTGCACGTCCCAGACGCTGGACGACGAGCCGCTGACGCCTGAAGTGGTGCCCCCCCCCCTGACCACCGTCACCCCGAGGTCAGTCTGAGGGGTGTGGTACAAACACAGCTGCTTCATGTCAGGCTTCTGGAACAGCATTTGGAAAAGGCTTAGATCAGGGGTCGGCAACCTTTTTGATATGAAGTGCCATTACAAAAAAAAAATGTTATCAGCGTGCCGACGATCGTGAATTATCAACGGGGGGTAGGGGGGGGTGAGGAGCTCAACGCTCGTGAACTGTCAACAGGAGGGCGGGGGGAGCCTCGCTGCGGGGAAGCAGTGTGTGGACCTGTCAGCGCAACTTACATGATGCCGAATTTAACAAACTAATTTTAATAATTGGTTCGAACGGCATAATAATAAGGACAATCGTCCGTTCTGTGATTCTCCAGAACACACATGTTATGATATTAGGGTCATGTGAGATGAGATCGCTGTCCCTTTAAGAGAGAGAGAGAGGGGTGTGGCGTCTGCATGTGTGTGTGTGGATGGTAGAGCGAGCGCGAGTGAGCGAGCGTTTGTATGTGAAACGAGGCAGCAGAAAAACAGAGGTCTGTGATGTATTTTGTGAAACAGAAGAACAACTAAATAAATGCAACGGCCTCCCAAGAAGAGCTCGCCTCTCTCCAGTAATTTAAGCTAAAGTGGGTCATTGAACCTGAAGCTTGTTGCTTCTGCCTTGAGAGACGACAGAGAGTCATCCCCCCTGTTTCCTCGACTACGGTCTGGGAGCCGACAGGAAAGTTCAAAACACAGATGGCCAGTCTGCCCCTTTGTAGCATATTATTTCGATGAGAGCAGATCGCCACTGGGCTTTCAACCAAAGGACACAGCCACGCAAAAACTGCGGCATTTGTACAGCTCCTTATGGGTACTGCTGCAATTTGTGAAGTGGATTCCTCTGTGGTGAAACGATCAGCACTGCACCACGGAGGAAAGCGGCAGAAAGTCGCCTGGAGTTAAAGAGAGCGGGGCTGCGTTGCGTACATGGCTTTCTTCTACTTTCACGTTTGGTCACGGGGAGACGCGCTCTGGCGGCGGTCTCGTTCAGGATCTGAAAATAAAATTTAAATATTTTCACACTTATTCCACTTATTCCTAGTGTGCCACTGGTTACGGTGCCGCGTGCCAATGGTGGCACGTGTGCCAGGGGTTGCCGACCCCTGGCTTAGATCAACCTTCACCAAATATAAAAATATCATATGATAAACTATACCTGAGAAGAAAAATACGCAACATCAATAATCTATTACATTTTACATAAGGGTTGAGATCAACTCCCCCAAAAATATATATATTTTTTTAGAAACTGCATTGTTATTCACTCTTGAAGTGTAGTGCTGAGGTCTGTTGTTACAAGCACTAATGTTAGCCATTATATGGGGTTAAAGAAGTCCTAGTCTTACAAACAATAGGTTTGCAGATTCATTATGTGCACCGGTATGTTCGATGTTCCAGTTCAGCTTTAGTTTGAAAATGTGCAGCATTTCTTTTTTTATTTTGTTTTAAAAAAATTTAAGGGTGACTTGGAGTTTGTTGCAGTTGATATAACCCGTTGAAAATGTGTTGCTCTTCATACTGTGCAGTCTGGAGAGCAGTGGAGAGACAGATGCTGAGCCAGCTGCTGCTGAGGGAGGAGCGGACGGCTCTGAACTGTACCGAACTGAGGGCGGTAAGCACATCCCTGTGTCTTCATGAAATAACAAGATGGCCCCTCACACGAGCCCTGTCTGTCAGGAGTTTAAGTTAGATTTGAAACACAGGTGAGGAACCTGCCCCAGGCTACGGTCCGGATACAAAGCCAAACCTTTTTCTGACCAAAAGACACAGACTTAGTGAGATGAAATTAGTCCATCATTCAGTTTGTTTGTATTGGCAACTTATTTATTGCAAAAGTTTACTCTAAGGTACTCGAAAGGAGGGTCAGGCCAATTGTCGAACCTCTGATTGAGGAGGAACAATGCGGATTCCATCCTGGTCGTGGAACGACGGATCAGCTTTTTACTCTCGCAAGGGTCCTAGAGGGGGCCTGGGAGTACGCTTATCCGGTCTACATGTGTTTTGTAGACTTCGAGAAGGCGTATGACCGAGTTCCCAGGGAGTTACTGTGGGAGGTGCTGCAGGAGTATGGGGTGGGGGGGTCTCTACTCAGGGCCATCCAATCTCTGTACTCCCAAAGCGAGAGCTGTGTCCGGGTTCTCGGCAGTAATTCGGACCCATTTCCGGTGAGGGTTGGCCTCCGCCAGGGCTGCGCTTTGTCACCAATCCTGTTTGTAATATACATGGATCGGATTTCGAGGCGTAGTCGTGGGGGAGGGGGTTTGCAGTTCGGTGGACTAAGGATTGCACCACTGCTTTTTGCAGATGATGTGGTTCTAATGGTTTCATCGGCCTGGGATGAGGCTGGGATGAGGATCAGCACCTCCAAATCTGAGGCCATGGTTCTCAGCAGGAAACCGATGGACTGTCCACTCCAAGTAGGGAATGAGTCCTTACCCCAAGTGAAGGAGTTCAAGTATCTCGGGGCCTTGTTCTCGAGTGAGGGAACAATGGAGCCTGAGATGGGCCGGAGAATCGGAGCAGCGGGAGCGGTACTGCAGTCGCTTTACTGCACCGTTGTGACGAAAAGGGAGCTGAGCCAGAAGGCAAAGCTCTCTGTCTACCGGGCCATTTTCATTCCTACCCTCACCTCACGACAATCTATCTATCTTTCTTACAGTGCAGACCCTTTTCTGCTTGCTCTTGCCTCTGCTTACTTTTTATGCTGATTTTCCTATTCTTATTCTCTGAAAACTTCGAGCAGCGGCTCCTGGACATGAACCTATCACTGGGACAGTTAATCTTCGTAAATAGACGGAGGTTTTCAGCCATATTTCAACATTTCTACGACAACCTCAGTCTTACAGTAGCGTGGCCTAGCGACAGCTAAAGCCTGGTAGGCTACTGCATGCTATTTAGCTTAAGCTAGTTGGTCGCAAAATGCCTCCGTTTTCTACAGATGACTTCCACAAACTTCTACAGAAGATGGCTGTGTTGGAAATGAAAATGCAATGGTTGGAAGTTAATCTGGAAGTGAATGGACTATGTCGTGGGAATGACA